AGTTGTATCTAAACCTAGTTCTATACAGGGATAATATATAGATACAGTTGTATCTAAACCTAGTTCTATACAGGGATAATATATATATACAGTTGTATCTAAACCTAGTTCTATACAGGGATAATATATAGATAAAGTTGTATCTAAACCTAGTTCTATACAGGGATAATATATATATATACAGTTGTATCTAAACCTAGTTCTATACAGGGATAATATATATACAGTTGTATATAAACCTAGTTCTATACAGGGATAATATAGATACAGTTGTATCTAAACCTAGTTCTATACAGGGATTATCTATAAAATAAAGCTTTTCGTTCATATTTATACGTCAGCTATAGCTGGCCAAACAGCTGAACCAAACGGGCTGATTTATTCAGGGAACTCATGAGTACTCAATTGGTAACATAGGCTAAAAAATCAACATTTTTTTCTTCTTCAAAATGTTTTTATTTAAAGAGCAATGGTGGGCACTTCAACTAGTTAATAGATATAGTTTGATCGTTTTGTTATAATTATATTTTCTTCAGCCCTACGGTCATCTGAACACATCCCTCATCAGCCAGCAAGCTTTGATGGCAGGGTCAACTCAGCCAACCTACCTTTCACCTGTATCAGGTCATTCATTTATTCATTTATTAACCCATTCATTCATTTATTCATTAATCCAGAAAATGTAGTCAAACTTCTTAAATACGTTCTTATATCTGTGTGGGACCATTACCCATTAAGTCTTTGGGACTTGATGATTTAGTCCAGTATGGGACCCATAACCCATTTTATGCAACCATTTATTTATTAACTACTTCATTTGTTTATACTTCATCTCATCCACCTATTCATCCTTAAATTTAACATTTCATTCGTTCATCTATTAACTAATCTATTTAGTCATTCAGCATGCAGTTCAATCATTTACTTTAAATTACTAAATTAATTATTTGGTATTTATGGTACGTGTATAGTACGTGTATAGTACTTTTATAATACATATAGTATGTGTACAGTACGTGAATAATAGTACATGTATAGTACATGTTAGTATGTGTATAGTACGTGTATAGTACGTGTATAGTACGTGTATAGTACATGTTAGTATGTGTATAGTACGTCTATAGTACGTGTATAGTACATGTATAGTACGTCTATAGTACGTGTATAGTACATGTATAGTACATGTTAGTATGTGTATAGTACGTGTATAGTACATGTTAGTATGTGTATAGTACGTGTATAGTACGTGTAAAGTACATGTATAGTAGATGTTAGTATGTGTATAGTACATGTTAGTATGTTTATAGTATGTGTATAGTACGTGTATAGTACAAGTTAGTACGTGTATAGTACGTGTTAGTATGTGTATAGGACGTGTCACGGCCCCCTTATATGTATGCTTCTATCTACCGATCTATACTATTCTGGGCTAGTGTACATGTAACTTTGTCGGTGGGCTACACAGCTGTTATATCTACGTGGACCCTAGATATTTTTAGGAAATTTCCAAAACCTGTGCATAGCAAATTTTAGGTTTTATTATAACAAATTTTTATTCTGGTTATTGTTAATTCTATAAAAATAATTTGTACTTTTAAAAAAGTTTGAAGTGATGTTCAGGGTCCAAATTAGAGAAGAACTTTGGTAGATAGTGGGCCCTGGAGTAAGCAGAAATTTGATACTGCAGCCAAAATCTTGTGAACATAGCATTTTCTTCAAAGAGTTGGTAGCATCAAAGGCGCCTTGTTTTAAGAATTCCAAAATGTGGTCTGCCGTTTTTGTACCTTAAGAATTGACCAAGATATTGAGAAATTTGTTTAAAATTCAAAATATTAAATATAAGCAAGGTTGTTTAAATCTTTAGTATCTCCAACAGTTTTTATAATACAAAGAAGGAGGCTAAATCTTATCAAGTTTTAAAGACTTACAATGTTTTTCTTTACTCCTTTGACATCTATTAACTTTTCGAAAACCAAAGACAAATTGTAAGTTCCAGGGTCCAAAGTCTAACGTACTGCATAACACACCAGCGAAAAAATTACATCAAACCTTGACTATGATATATCCATTCTATTATATATCCATGAGACGTGTATAGTACATGTTAGTATGTGTATAGTACGTGTATAGTACGTGTTAGTATGTGTATAGTACGTGTATAGTACGTGTTAGTATGTGTATAGTACGTGTATAGTACGTGTTAGTACGTGTATAGTACGTGTTAGTATGTGTATAGTACGTGTATAGTACGTGTATAGTACGTGTATATATAATTTTGACTGGAAATTCGCCATTCAGGGTTTTTGAAAACTTATTTTTATTATTTAGGACTACCTGCTCTTAGCCATCTTACTTCAGCCATTGTCTCTCCAACTGCAGGTTAGAAAGAGGCGTGGATGGGCGTTACCCGAAGTATAGAGGGGCTTAGGTGTTACTCTGAGTTTCTGTAAATTCGGATTTTTTTTTTTGCGGACAAGTTTAGGGGAGGGTGGATTGTAAAGTTGTAAACGTTTACTGAATTTGTTTGTTTATAAGATGTAAAAGAAGCAAGCAACTTATTTGGAAAGGAAGGGAATGTAGGAATTGATTGATTAATTGATTAATTGATTGAGAATTAGTGCATAAAACTCTAAAATGATAAATAAATTAATAATAAATACATGAAAGCATAAATGGATAAATAAATGAGAGAATGAAATAATACATTAAGAAATCAAAGCATAAATGAATAAATAAACCAGAAGATGAAATAATAAAATAAATGAATGATTAATAGATAATTAAATTTAAAGAATGGATTAATAATTAAATGTATGTTTGATCAAATTATTACAAAGCTTATTAATTAAAAATGTCGTAAATGTAAATATAAAATACCAACAATTCGAAATATCTTTAATCAAATTCAAATTCTCAAGTTCAATTTTTCTTTTAATATTTCTTATAAAGTTTTCATACCAATTAAGAATTTATTTCATACAACATTCATTTTAAATGGAATCACTTTATTGTATCAAAGTTTTATTTTTTTATTTTTTGAAAATAAAAATATTAAAAAGATAAACTATGTTTGTGGTCGCTAGCAGGTCTTTCTAAAGCATATATTCTAATTTATAGAAAAATGCGAATATGACAAAAAATTCTATAAATTCCCCCCAATGAAATTGTTTAAAAATAGATGAGAACAGGGGGAGGGGGGCAGGTTGATGTCAGTCTAACAGTTTGGGGGGTATAGAGTTTGTCTTCATTTACTGTGACCTAATACACTGTAAATTCCGGTTCAAGTGCAGGGCCGACTTTTAAGCAGCAAGAGCAAGCTGTTCTGCACAGTACACATACAGACTATATAAAGCAAAGCAGGGATATTTTATTAACATGTTGGTAAACAAGCCCATCCGGTCCTGTCGACTTTATTTACAATCTTTGTTATTGTTTTAATAAAACTATAGTTCCTAGTCATATTATACGTCACAGTAATATATTTGCACACACCCTATCTCCCCAACCTTTGAAGAGGTTAGGTAAGAACAAAAAATATACGTTTCACTGATACCTTTTTCAAGTTTAAGGGTTTTTATTACGGTTTTTAACACTTGCATGGATTGGTTAAATATAAAGATAATAGAGATTTCAGTAGAAAACATAAATTCAAAACCATAATGAATCGGATAGAGTGATATTAAGGTTAGGGGGGCTGAGGTTAAGTTCAAGAATACAGTAGAGTTCAGATAAATTCAAAACCATAATGAATCGGATAGAGTGATATTAAGGTTATGGTGGCTGAGGTTAAGTTCAAGAATACAGTAGAGTTCAGATAAATTGAAAACCATAATGAATCGGATAGAGTGATATTAAGGTTAGGGGGGATGAGGTTAAGATGAAGAAAAGATTTATATAGTTTGAGTTCTAAGCTTAAACTTTAGATTAGTAAACTTATCCTCAGCTTGCAGCAGTATATATATAATGTGTACAAGGGGTTTCCAGCCATCGTAAACTTTTGCGAAAAAAGGCGAAATTTTGAGAAAATTCTCTTTCGTATTTTGCAAACTTTTTCGCGAAATTTTGCATTCTTTGCGAAAATAAATATTGCGAAAGAAAAAAATGCGACAATTTCGCGAAAAATTGCAAAAGTGTTTTCTTGCATTAATCTGGTTTACTAAAAAATGCAAATTACTTATATTGAACAAAACTTTTTGCGATTTTTTTTTAACAAACCGATGCGAAAAAAGGCGAAATTTTCGGCGAAAAGATTTCGCTGAAAATCTTGAGTGTGCACACGAAGAAAGTTATACAATGCATAAGCACAGTTTTGGGTTTTAAAGCGCGCATGAAAACTGCAAACTAGGACGAGAAAGAAGGTCGAATGTTTGCGAAATACATATTTATTTTATTTATAAATAAAAATACAAAGCAAGAAAGATGGTTGGTTAGATAGATGGATAGATAGTTGGTTAGATAGATGGATAGATATTAGATAGTTGGTTAGATAGATGGATAGATATTAGATAGTTGGTTAGATAGATGGATAGATAGTTGGTAAGATAGATGGATAGATAGTTGGTTAGGTAGATGGATAGATAGTTGGTTAGATAGATGGATAGATGTACGTATATGGAGATAGTTAGAGTTAGATAGACAGATAGACAGGTAAGCTGAGAGCTCAAGTATCAATAGCAATAATATTTATAATGCACTCCAGATGATTGGTTGAAAACAATCCTTTCCAGCAGTAAACAAACTTGACAAACTTGACAAACTTGACAAACTTGACAAACTTGACAAACTTGACAAACTTGAAAAACTTGACAAACTTGACAAACTTGACAAACTTGACAAACTTGACAAACTTGATAAACTTGACAAACTTGACAAACTTGGTACAAACTTGACAAGTTTGAAAAATTTGACAAACTTGACAAACTTGACTGGACATCCATGTATGCTGTCTCTTTTTGAATTTTAACTAAAACTTTTCCAGCATTGCTACGTCGTTAAGAAACATTAAAAAAAGATCACAAAAAACAAAGAATTATAATGTAATGATAGATATTTCAGAGGTGTACGCATTTTATGTAGTGCAGTTTACTGTCATGGGGCTATAAAGTAGACAAAAGTTTCAATATGTACGCAGATAATACGCAACCGCAATTAACTTTCCTTGCCTTATTACCTTGACAACAATTCCATTAGATTGTGCATCAATGAAAAGTGTGCACTCTGGAACAGGGGTTTAAGTTAAGATGTATCTAAGTACAGGATGAATATGAATATCCTATTGAAAATTATAATATTTATAAAGTTCTAAAGATTCTATTCTATTATGCTCCAGTACATTGTAAAGAGAGATTTGATGGAAACATACAGACTCTCTCTTCTTTACAATTTACCTAGAAAACTTGGGGAAAGAAGAGAATATATTGAGAAATATATAAAGATTAAGAAGAAGAGAATATATTAAGGAATATATAAAGATTAAAAAGAAGAGAATATATGAAGGAATATATAAAGATTAAGAAGAAGAGAATATATTAAGGAATATATAAAGATTAAAAAGAAGAGAATATATTGAGAAATATATAAAGATTAAAAAGAAAAGAATATATTAAGGAATATAAAAAGATTACGAAGATGAGAATATATTAAGGAATATATAAATATAACGAAGAAGAGAATATATTAAGGAATATATGAAGATTAAGAAAAGAGAATATACTGAGGAATATATAAAGATTAAGGAGGAGCGAATATATTAAGGAATATATAAAGATTAAGAAAAGAGAATATATTAAGGAATATATAAAGATTAAAAAGAAGAGAATATATTAAGGAATATATAAAGATGAAGAAAAGAGAATATACTGAGGAATATATAAAGATTAAGGAGGAGCGAATATATTGAGAAATATGTAAAGATTACGAAAAGAGAATATATTAAGGAATATATAAAGATTATGAAGAAGAGAATATATTGAGAAATATATAAAGATTAAAAAGAAGAAAATATATTAAGGAATATATAAAGATTAAGAAAAGAGAATATACTGAGGAATATAAAAAGATTAAGAAAACAGAATATACTGAGGAATATATAAAGATTAAGGAGGAGCGAATATATTAAGGAATATTTAAAGATTACGAAGAAGAGAATATATTGAGAAATATATAAAGATTAAGGAGGAGTGAATATATATTAAGGAATATATAAAGATGTGAAGATTTTTATAGGAAAACAAAGCAGGTGAGGGAGACGGGGGAGGTGGGGGGGGGGGAAGGTTAAGAATAGTTTATTTTGAATGATCTTCTCTATATATAGACCTAGATTGAATATGCTAATTAAGATAAATTCTTTTTGATCGGTTTAGGCGAACTTTCCAAAATTTATTCAAATACTTTCCCCTTGCATAATCCTCTTTCCAAGGGACTAGTTGCGAATTTTAAATAATTTTTATTAAAATGGAAGAAGTTAAGAAAACACTGCCTAATGCCTATTTCTTTTATGTGGATGGATATAAATATGGAAAATAGATTTTATCTTTAGATTATAGGTAAAACCCGTTCTTAATAATTAAATCTTAAATGATTTAATTTCTAGGTTTGGCCACCGCGGATAATAATCAAGCTATTCAAGCCGCAGCATACCCTACTATCCCCTTCCCTGGAGTAGGTTAGTATCTTACCCTACTCCTACCCTACTATCCCCTTCCCTGGAGTAGGTTAGTATCTTACCTTACTCCTACCCTAATATTCCCTTCCCTGGAGTAGGTTAGTATCTTACCCTACTCCTACCCTACTATCCCCTTCCCTGAAGTAGGTTAGTATCTTACCTTACTCCTACCCTAATATTCCCTTCCCTGGAGTAGGTTAGTATCTTACCATACTCCTACACTACTATCCCCTTCCCTGAAGTAGGTAAGTATCTTACCTTACTCCTACCCTACTATCCCCTTCCCTGGAGTAGGTTAGTATCTTACCCTACTCCTACCCTACTATACCCTTCCCTGGAGTAGGTTAGTATCTTACCCTACACCTACCCTACTATACTCTTCCCTGGAGTAGGTAAGTATCTTACCTTACTCCTAAACCCACAGCTGACCCTTGCAGCTTTACCATTAAGGTTTGGCTTGGTCCAACTATACTAGTTTTGGTCCAACTATACTAGTTTTGGCCCAAGTATACCTTTTTTGGTCCAACTATACTAGTTTTGATCCAACTATACTAGTTTTGGTCCAAGTATACCTTTTTTTGGTCCAACTATTCTAGTTTTGGTCCAATTATACCAGTTTTGGTCCAACTATACTAGTTTTGGTCCAACTATACTAGTTTTGGTCCAAGTTTACCTTTTTTTGGTCCAACTATTCTAGTTTTGGTCCAACTTTACTAGCTTTGGTCCAACTATACTAGTTTTGGTCCAACTTTACTAGTTTTGGTCCAATACATGGGAAGTCGCCCTTAAGAAAATGCCTTCAGGAAATTATCTAAACTAAAATTCTAAGTTTAAGTTAGTAACGGCAATGACACACAAATTTTTCTCCGGTTTATACTTCACTTTTTACCTATCAGACAATATGAATATATGAATAGAGGAGGACAGTTCTATTATCAAACAGCTGATGTCATTTTCCCCCTCAAACTTGACAAACTTGACAAACTTGACAAACTTGACAAACTTGACAAACTTGGTACAAACTTGACAAGTTTGAAAAATTTGACAAACTTGACAAACTTGACTGAGTACGTGTTAGTACGTGTATAGTACGTGTTAGTAAATTCTCTAATCCTAAGATTAAAAATAGTATTTATAGGATTTGTTAAATAGTTGAGCTTTCTGTTGATTAGAGTTTGTGTGGTTGCATGTGTTGGTTACATTTAAAAACAATAAAAGGAAAGTGGTTTGGAGGGAATAACGTAATAGTAATGTTTCCAGACAACATAAGTCGTGAAGGAACTATTTCCGGTTTCAAATTGCAGTAATAATGATTAGTCTAAGTGGTCAATGTTAGTTGTATTTTACAATTGAAAAAAAAACTATTTTGTGGTACAAAAATAAGGAAATCTCTTTAATCCTTGATCAGATAATGGTTTTAAAGGTACCATTGTGAATCAAACATGCGACTCTACTTGAAATTGTGTAGACTGTCTCTTTAACAAGTTGGATTTCTCGTTCAAATCTCTATTTCCCCATGTTTAACCCTATATACCTGTGTTTAGGATGTTCCATAAGTGGACCTGAGGGGTGTAACCTATTTATCTACCACCTCCCTCAAGAGTTTGGTGACGCAGAGTTAATGCAAATGTTTCTACCCTTCGGTAACGTCATCAGCTCTAAAGTGTTTATTGACCGAGCTACAAACCAAAGTAAATGTTTTGGTTTCGTCAGCTTTGATAATCCTACAAGCGCTCAGGCGGCCATTGGAGCTATGAACGGATTCCAGATCGGTATGAAGAGACTCAAGGTTCAGCTCAAGAGACCTAAGGATGCCAGTAAACCTTACTAGATAGATAGATATGACAGCTAGCTGCTAGCTGCTTTTGTTAGCCACCGGTCTTAAATCAAATTTAAGGTAAGAAATGCAACGAAGCTCGCTGTTTCAATTTTCGAAGAAGTTCACAAAAAAAAACAAATAATCTTTTACAGAATTTTTAAATTAAATTCTTCGAATTTTGAACAAATTTTTCTAATTGTTGATAATATTTATTCCAAATCTGTAAAGAAACTAAATATTAAGTTTTCTCATCTATTGACAGAGTTTATTTGATATTTAGTCTGGGAACTAAGAGTTGCTCAAGTGTTATAACAGACCAACATATAGAAACATCACCTAGTGGAACTAGAGGAATATATTTATATAAGTTTTATAAGTCGTCTTCCCCCCACCCAGGGTAAACTATATTGACTGGTTAATGTTTACTTTATAGAGCACATTCTAAAATGCAGGGATAATTAGTTCAAACCTGGGATTTGATCTAAATGTGATTTTGAATTTTACATTGTTTCAAACCAGTTCCCCCTGAATCAAAAATCATTCAAAAAACAGGGACACAAAGGACAAAAAGGACAAAAAGACTAAAATGACAAAAAGGGGCTGAAAGAAAAATTTCAATGAAGCTTCGTTGTTTATTTTTTCAATAGTTTCAAACTTTAAACCGAAGTTGTAAATGGCTTACAGGCATGATTAGCCGAGGATTTTCTTATCAATCATCAACCAAGCAAGAAAATAAACAAAATAGGTTCATATTCCCAATGATAAAGGATTTCATTTTTATCTATTTGGTTGATATGATTGATTTCATGTGTCAGCACCTATGGCAGGTTAAATTTCTATTTGTTTACAGTGTTTTTTTAAGTGTTTTTTATAATTGTTAATTAGCTTACAACATATATGGAATGGGATGACTAATGAGAAAGCAGGATAAGACAGAGAAAGTTATTGCAAATATTTATTGTGTGTATGAGGAGGGGGGGGGGGGTAGAACTTGTAAACAAACAGACAGTGTGCAGTACAATATCAAGCTAGAAGTATGTAGGATAGTTGCTATAGAAGAATAAAGAGGATGGTGTAGGAAGAAAGGAATTTCTGTTTTCAAACTTGATAAAAGAATAAGGATAGCAAGAAGACAGATAGCTATTTTTAAAGTTTGGAGAATGATTTGGGATAGTTATAGCAAGCTATTTACCAAGCTAGAGAACGATGTGGGATAGTTATAGCAAGTTATTTATCAAGCTAGAAGAATGATGTGAGTTAGTTATAACAAGCTATTTATCAAGCTAAAAGAATGATGTGGGATAGTTATAGCTAGCTATTTATCAAGCTAGAAGAATGCTGTGAGCTAGTGATAGCTAGCTATTTATCAAGTTAGAAGAATGATGTGAGTTAGTAATAGCTAGCTATTTATGAAGCTAAAAGAATGATGTAAGCTAGTGATAGCTGGCTTTTTACCAAGCTAAAAGAATGATCTGAGTTAGTGATAGCTAGCTATTTATCAAGCTAGAAGAAAACTGTGAGCTAGTGATAGCTAGCTATTTGTCAAGCTAGAAGAAAACTGTGAGCTAATGATAGCTATCTATTTATCAAGCTAGAAGAATGCTGTGAGCTAGTGATAGCTAGCTATTTATCAAGCTGTAAGAATTATGTGAGTTAGTGATAGCTAGCTATTTATCAAGCTAGAAGAAAACTGTGAGCTAGCGATAGCTAGCTATTTATCAAGCTAGACGTATGTTGAGGGCTAGTGGGAATATAGCAAGAAAATTAGAATTACAATTTGCCGTGAGCAATTCAAGAATGAAGATCAAAGAAAAAATGTTAATGGAATATTTTAATGAAGAAACACAAAGAGACCCGACAGAAAACTCTGAATATTTAAATAAATTTTAATAAAAAGTTTTAAATTTCAATAAAACGACAAACAGTCTATAGATATATTAGGGTAGATGCATGTTGGGATAGTTTTCTTATATTCAATGTAAAAAAGCATTTCTATATGTTCTAAATAAAATATTTGGATTTTGAAAAATTTACACGTTTGCATTGTGGACTGTAGGATGGCGTTTAATAGTTTTGTTCAATGTTTCAGGATTTTTTAACGTTTAGAAAACTTTGCAGGTTTGGTATCACTCATATTGGCGTTTAGGGTTTCCAATCGGAATTCCGTTGCGCAAAATTGCTCGGATTTACGTGCAATCATACGGACTTGCGCGCAACTTTTCGGAAGTTTCGCGGAATTGTCCGGAATTGTGCGGAGTTTACATAGGTTGCAATTGCGCGCAAGTAAAATCCATTTGCGTTGGAAACCCTATGTAAAAGATACGGCAGAAAAGCCAATTAAAAATACTGGGCTGAAAATTATGGCAAAGTATCAATTTTTCCTAAACGGCTAAACCAAATAATTTTACAGATGCTTTCTTGAATAAAGCATATCTTATGATTAATGATTAAAAATCATGTTTTAATCAAAAAGTTTTTTTTAAAACCATTCTCATAAGATTTTGTTTAAGTTATTAAATTCACTAATTGATAAAGGTGCAACAAGAAGAAATTTTGAATTTTTAGATTATTTTTGAAAAGAAATTGAGTCTTTGTCACCAACTCATAATTTCTAATCCTTACATCTTTGCATCCTGATGGTGCAAACCTTTAATATGTCCAAGGCAGATTATTTGATTAGACAAAATTCATAGTTTGAAATATCTAAGGCCCACATTTGGTTGCAAAAATAAAGTGATTATAAAGTCAGAGTTTGTGGCAAAACTCAATTCCTTTGGAAAAAATTAGTTTACCAGGTGATAAAAAAATCGTTTATATATTATATGTCAATATCAAAGAGGTAAAAAGTTTTAAATGTCTTGATCGGACGAGCATGGTTAATAGTTAGAATAGCGTTTCCAAGAATTTTATAAAAAAGGATGCGTAAAGTACATCTTATCTTTATACAATTCTTGATCACATGTTTCACATCTACTATGTTTATTAGGGTGTTTCAGACCTGTATTTATTAGGGCGTTCCAAAGTGTATCCTTTTCTTTATTTAAACTTTAATTTAAAACCCAAATTTGGCTATTTTGGAACTTTCTAGTTTAATGTTTAGGAATAATGGAACATGACGTTGACCAGCTGAACTAATTAATTCGTTTATCAATTATTAATTTTTTCTTTTTTTAGATCTTTCTCCTCTCGTTGTCCTTGGCTCCCTTTGAACCTACATCTTATCCCCTCTCCCTCTTTCTTATATGCCAAACTTATATCAAAACTCATGTTAATTAATCTTGTTAAACCGTATAATTGTCGAAAAATGATTATTTATGAAAAAAATGAAAACTTGGAAAATCAGAAAAAAAAACAGTTTAATACCTTAATAATAATTAAGATAGTTAGTTATTGATATTAATTTTAAAACAATTCTAGTCCAATTAAGACAACAAATTAGGTATAATTTAATACTAAGAATTTTTCGTTATACTTTTCTGGCGCCAAAATTACTTTACTTATATGAATCTAACTTTTGTGCAAAAAATTGCAAAAATTTAAAGTTTACGCTGCTTTAAAGCTGCTAGTTTCCAAATATGCCAATCGTGTGCTAAATTTTACATTTTAAATGCTTCTGCTCTGATAGAACGATGTTCCAAAAAACTAGTTTTTGGTGAGAAACATATCATTTTTGAGTGACAAAAAAAAAACTTTTCTATGATATTCTTTATCATAAATTTTAGAATTTCAAAATGATTTAACACTTTTTTTCATAATGTAAATAATGCATTTTATATAACAATTTTAAATTTTCACTTCGCTTTATAATGAACGAGTATACGCTCCGTTGGAAAGGCGTACGCCCAATTTTAGAAACACTGAATTTTCACTTTTATTTGCACATACTGTAGTGCAATATTTTAATATGATTGCACGTTTAGCTGCAGAATATAGTTGCCAAATTAGTATTATTAAGTATGTATCTCATGTAGTCATGTTTATATAATTATATATGTTGTACACCAAGGAAAGAATATTATGTACATCAACAAAAGCATTCGTACAGATACAGTACATAACCCATGCTGTGTACTGTAAGTACTCATTTAGAATCAAGTTTTTAAAAGTTTCCTTGGCAAAGAACTGTACTTAACATAAATCCACCTGTATGCTGTCCAGTTTAGACCAAATCAAGAAAATTTCAAATCTTAGGATCGATCATGTGATAATTAAAAGTCTTGTTTTTTTGGACAAAATGTCATTTTTATTGAACACTAAAAACAAACCAAAGTTTTTTTTAAAAATTAAAAATGTTTTCAAAGATCCTGCTGCATCTTCACAATGGGGACAGAAGACCCAAAGGTCTCCAACAGTGAAATTATAGTTTTGGTATTTCATTCTCCTCTTTTTGAGAACTTGCATTCTTATCTAGTCACAAACTTTCATACTAGTCACCAAATATAGTTATACAATTTAAATGATAAAAAAGACGCCATTTTGAATTTCCGAGCTAGTTAGTTCAGAAAACAGTAATTCTTCTTTTTGAATTTAGTGATGAACATCATGAAATGAAAACCTTCAATGGAAAACAGAAAACTTTGAAGAGCCGAACATTGAACAACTGTTTCTGCAGGTTTCTCGACTGTTCAGAAGAAAGGGACTGTAAATGTAATTTCAAGTGACCCTCCATGCATGAGATGGCATTACCGATTTACAACGGTACCCTTGAAAGCTTTGTTTGATCATGTATAAATGAGATATCCATGTTTTTATTTCTTTAAAACTGTTTAAACGGTCAGAAAAACGACGGTATCTTCCACATTTTGATCAGATTAAGGTTTCAAGGGTACTGTTGTAAATCGGGCATTGTCGTTTTCGCATGAAGTGGTCACTTGAAATTATGCTTACAGTCTCTTTAACACAAACAGGGTGAAATGTATTTAGAATTGTTAAAGGCACAAACTAAGTCAAGAGTTTGATTTATATTTGGTCCAAATCTAACCGCTTTGTCATACTATAGTGTAATATTAATAACTATTTTAGATTTTCTAATTTCCCCCCCCCCCCCATTTAACCTACTCATAGCTTGTAAGTATTGTCAGTATAAATATTAATCATATATACAGTAATATGCCCCTGCTAGTCTTATTAATGAAACAGAGTTAAAAATTCAAATGTCAAGCGAAAATTCTTTAGTCAAGAATTCTGAACTCATTTTTATCGAACAAAGTTTAAACTTTAGAATTTAATTACGTTGATGACAAAAATAAAATAGTTAATCTGTTTCGGATAATACTCAGCCATCAACATTCTTAGAGAAAGAGTGGTTTGTAAAATCTTTGAACCTGTTATATAACCCTGATTCAACAATAGTTTACATTGCATTAATGTTATCCATAAACATTTATAATATTCATTGAAAATAGTTTGTTTCATCTTTATTATATATATAACACCATTTTTGAAATATAAAAATTTTATAAGAATTTGTTTTTATTTAAACGTTTAGACTGTTAAGCAGTTTAAATTATAATTGTTACGATAACTTTTCATTCTGCAGAACTTATATCTGAACTTTCATGTTATAAAGGCACTGTTAGTGTTTATCAAAAAATGACGATGTCCGATTTACAACGTTAGCCTTGCAACTTTAATCTGATAAAAAATGTGGAAGATAGTGTTTATTTCTGTTAATTTCTCCCTTGCTTCTTATAATCAAGAAAGAAAAACATTAGTATCTAATTCATACTTGATCAGACAAAGCTTCAAGGGTCCCACTACTGTTGTACATCTGTGCATGGAGGGTCACTTATAATTACACTTACAGTCCCTTTAAGTTTCGCGTGCTGTAAAACTTTGCTTAACTATCTACATATCTTCTTCTTTTTACATTACAAATATTTCTTTTAATTATTTTGTAAAATAGTAATTTTCTGTCCAAAAGTTCAATAAAAACCTCTCGTGATATGTCTTATTCTATTAAATTATCAAAAACATTTCATAGACACAAAAACTGGATGAGAAGGAGAATTATAGACAACCCCCTCTCCTCCCTTTTTCCACTTAAGGCTCCTGCTTACTAACTATTTCCACTTCCATCCTTCCACTCCACGCCTCCTGCCCACCTCCTTCCACTCTACGCCTACTGCCCCCCATCCACTACACGCCTCCTTCCCACCTCCTTCCACTCCACGCCTCCTGCCCACCTCCTTCCACTCCACGCCTCCTGCCCACCTCCTTCCACTCCACACCTCCTTTCAATCCACGCCTCCTTCCCACCTCCTTTCAATCCACGCCTCCTGCCCACCTCGTTCCATTCCACACCTCCTGCCCACCTCCTTCCACTCCACACCTCCTTTCAATCCACGCCTCCTTCCCACCTCCTTTCAATCCACGCCTCCTGCCCACCTCGTTCCATTCCACACCTCCTGCCCACCTCCTTCCACTCCACACCTCCTTTCAATCCACGCCTCCTTCCCACCTCCTTCCACTCCACACCTCCTGCCCACCTCCTTCCACTCCACTTTTCTCTGCACTTCTCCTTCCACTGAATTAACTTATTTTTTTTAACATTAAGGAAATGATTGTTTACCGGAATATCGTAGGCTAAGATATGCATAGATTTGAATTATAAAAGATCAAATAAACTAAGTTTGAAATATTAAAGCTTTACACCATCAGGTTTCAAAGATGTAGGAATTAGAGCTCTATGCACAACATTAATAGGAGGGGGGAGCGGGGGATTGTCAAAAAAGCGTTCTATTGGAAATTACCCATTTTTCTTCTTATTCCGACCTAAGTTAAGGAAATATTGCAAGACAAGTCTCGGGTCAAGGAATGATTTGAAAAAAACACGTTTGGTTGAAACAACATGTTTTTCCTCCGACAAACAAGAACAACACATTCAGAAAAACCTCATCTTTCTTAAACCTATGTTAGAAAACTTTCTTCTGCCCAAAATACCCTGGAGGGGGGGCTTCCTTCTTTTTCCTTAATGTGATACTTAAAGGGAGTGTTCGCGAAAAATTAAAGGGGAAATAGGCTTAATGCGATAAAAAAGCACTTTTGTATCGCTACTAATCTTAATTCTATCTGTTGCGTCTATAAGGAGAAAATTGTTAAAGACGTCTCATACCGAATAACTTAGCGCTCATACAAATTCATTCCAAAATTTCCATTACTGTATTTTTAAAATGAGGTTTTTTATATTCATATCTAAGTTCTTGTAATAGTCTATTTTATATGCTCATTATTGTGTTGGTTAGCTCTGAAAAATAAAGAAAAGTTAATGAACAAATATGATTTTTTGATTAAATATATTTGTTTAATTTAATACAAATAATTCAGTTTGATTGAATAGAAATATGTTATTTTGATTTTGATACAACTACTAATCAATTCATCAATTACAGTTATGTTGGTTTGATTTGATACAAATAAATCAGGATACAACTATTAATCAATTCATCAATTACAGTTATGTTGGTTTGATTTGATACAAATAAATCAGGAGAACAGATTTAGAAAAGTAAATACTTTAAATTTTACTTAGAACTGTAAAATTGGATTTCTGAAAACAATTTAATTATTTTTCAATTGTTTTCAAGGGACTGTTTTCTACTTCAAGAATGCCATGTCAGATTTACAACGGTACCCTTTATTTTTTGTGTGCAGAGAACCCTCAACAATTTGATATTGATATTTAAATTTGAAAACAATTTAATTATTTTTCAATTGTTTACAGAAAGTTTTCAAGGGACTGTTTTCTACTTCAAGAATGCCATGTCAGATTTACAACGGTACCCTTTAAACCTTTATCTATCGTCGTTTGTCTGTCTTGAAAAGATCAATTTGAACAATTCTGTTATTTCCTTCATTGTCTCTATGGCATATATTCACAATTTTTTTTGTTTCACGGCGAGAACCCTCAATTAAGATTAATAAATTTTCAGATTAAAAAATATCTTATTCATCCTTGATCAAACAAAGTCTGTAAGAGCACCTCAGCATGGATGATGGAGGGGGTTGTGGTTTAATTTAACTCTTTATATAATTATCATAGTTTGTATAGGCATCAACATTTTTTATTCTTATTTCTGCCATCATATACTTTTAGTCTACGCAAATTTGTATGGGCCTATGAAGGTATATTTGCAGAGATTTTTCCGCAATTTAATTCCTTTTTTTGCAGTGCTTATAATCCCCTTTCAGCTTAAAGTTAGCAGCTTTGAAAAAACACTAAAATAAACACAAAATGTAAATATGAAAATCATTAAAAAAAAATCTATTTAACATTAAAATCTATTTTGGCATTATGATGCGAAAATATATCGATGCAAAGTTTATAAATTGATGCATATTTTTTATATACTCAACTCTGTGTATGTAATAATAAATATGGTTGCATTAGAGAAACACACAAACTAACACTCACACATAACACACAACAAACTCTATCTCTCACACATAACACACAAAAAACTCAACTCTTGCACACAACGAATAACAAAAACTCAACTCTCACACATAACACACAAGAAAAACCAACTCTCACACATAACTCACAACAAAACCCAACTCTAACGCCTAACACAATTAAACCCAGTTCTCACACAAAAAAAACACAAGACAAACCAACATTCACATATGTTATACAAAAATACCTACAGTCACACAAAGCACAGAACACAAATTTATACTCACACAAACCAATACTCGCAAACATAACACACCAAAAACCAGCACTCACACATTACACACTAGAAAAACCAACACTCACACATGAAACACAACTGAACCCAACATTTACACATAACACACACAACGAAAATCCAACTTTAACACAAAACACACAACACACAACACAACAATCTCTCATATATAAAGAACAACAAAAAATAACATTTACACATATAACCCACAAAACAAACAAACACTCGCACATACAATACACAGCATAACCCACCTCTAACACACTAAACACAACACACCCCAACTCTCACACATAACACACAACAAAAACCAACATTCAGATGTATAACACATCAAAATTTACACTCACACATAACATAACACTCAAGACAAATCAATACTCACACAAAACACAAACCAAACCTCACACATAACATACAATAAAATTCAACTCTCACACATAATACACAACAAAAACCTACAGTCACACAAAACACACAACAAAACCCAACTCTCACACACAACACAAAATATCACCTAACTCTAACTCATAACACACAACAAAACCCAAATCTCACTCATAACATACAACAAAACCCAAATCTCACACATAACACAAAACAAAAACCAACTCTCGCACATAACACGCAACACAAACCAACATTCACACACAACAAAAGCCTATATTCACACAAATCAATACGTATACATAACACACAACACAAAACCTGCTACTCACATAAAACACACAACACAAAAGCAGAAACGAACAGTTCCTTGCAGTACACAACACAAACCATCATGACATATTACATAAACCAATACCCACACATAACACAAAACACAAACCAACACTCACATAAAACACTAACACAAACGTGAAAATAGCACTCACATACAACACGAATTTCTAAATATTTTTTACAAGAAACAAACAGACGACAAACATTGACAAACATATATTCTTCCACCTTGCTTTTATCCTATGTTTACTCCCAAAGATAACACTCCACAAAGTCGGCAATATAAAAATAATCCC